ATCGCCATTGGCTAGTAAATTTTTTTGTTTACTCGCCAGACTGATAAATATATACATACACATATACATATATACACATACACACACACACATATTCACACACACACACACATATACATACACCGTGAAGATATAGTCGCATATGCGAGTGATTTACTCGCAATGTAGAGGGTTGAAATATAATTATTTTTCTTTTCTTTTTCTGATAGTGTAAGTAAAGTTTATTTAAACAAGAAAATGTGACGATGACATGAATTTATAATATACATAAGTTTTTTTATCACACTTTTATTCAGCAAGGATGAATTGATTAAAAGTGACAGTAAAAATTAAAAAAATTAATTACATTTTAAATTGTAATAATATTTCACAATATTACCATTTTACTGTATTTTTGATTAAATGCCTTGGTGAGTGTAAGAGACTTATTTCAAGAATATTTTCAACAAAATAAACAAATGGGAATGGTTTTATATTTTAGATATTCATTTGTCAATGCCTGTTTTGGATAAATCAGTGAATTATATACTAAAAGGCATTTTGTCTCCAATTCAGAACTTAGAAAAAAGATAATATTATTTCTAACAAAATAATAAGTTTCTTAATAAGCATAAAATAAGCCTCTTAATAGGTGTAAAACTTTTGTTTAAGAGCTACACGAGTAAACAAAACCAAACATTTTAACACCAATTAATAGCAAGTTATTCCTTGTGCACATCCTTTTTTTTTTTGTGTATTTTTCCATGCGTCTTCACTGCCCTCACATGTAAATAACATAAAATAGCCAAACAAAAGGCAGAATAAACAGTTTCACAAAATCTCTCGACACATTTCTACCATCATACCACCCATTCCTACATCCTATAGCATGTAAAAATGTTTTTGTGTGTGTGTGTGTGCGCCAGGCGTCTGAACTGTGAGCATGTTCCTCGAGCATGAATAGGTATTTGTGTGAGTTTTCTGCATGTAAAATGTGTGTGCGGTTGACCGACGGGTGAATTACTGCTTAATGGCTCCCACAGCGAGCATTCTTCATTTACAGAGGAATGACATGCCTCTCTGGCCCTCCTTCTCGCTCTCTTTCTCCCTTTTCCGACACTGCACTCTTTGACCCATCTTCATTCGCTCGCTGTCCGTACATCCTCTCACGTCGCTTCCCATGTCTGTCACTCCATCGCTTGTTTTCTCCCTCTCGTTTTAGTGTCTCTCCACACGATTATCCCCTTCATTTCGCACGTCTTCTCTTTCATTTTCTAACAGTCTAACCATCATTCTCTCCGTTCACTTCAAAGGTGGCTTATTAGCATGAAATAAGATCAAAACGCCACATATTGGGACGACAAAGGATATTAGAGTAAATGACACTCTATCGTACCATTAGCGAGGGGGAAATGTACACATAAAGCAATGACAACCCTCTCTGTCTCTCTTTCTCACACACACATATTCACACAAAGCGAGCTCTGAGTTGGCCTGTGATTTGGACCTGACCCAGTCTGCTACATTCGGACACATTCTGGGTTCTGTGTCAGATAGAGGAGCCATTGTTCTGATAAAGCAGGATAGAGGAAGAGAGTGAGCGAGAGAAAGAGACGGAGGGACAAAGACAGTTGGGTGGGACTTCAGGACGCCATGTTGTTTAAGGGGTCTTGTTCCGGGTATTGTGTTTCTGAAGTTGATTTACTGTAATACGTCACTATCAAGCTACTCAGACTTGTCTGCTGGGATGTATTCAATTTACCCAGCAAAACCTCAGCCCTACAGATTGAAACTGTAGCACTTGGTCGAAGTGACCAACTAAAAACATGAGTGTACGCGAGCTGATGCTCAGAGTATCTATCAAGGCTCACCGTAGCTGATGAGCTTCCCCATTGGTTTCAGTAGGTTGTAGCCCTTATGAGTGTCAGAGCCTCCCAGAGGATCCAGAACAATATCCAAGCCTAAAACACACAGGAAGAAAGACACCGATGGTGAATGACCAAAATAATGTTCTTCTTGCATTAATTCATATACACTGTATCTATAAAACTGTAACTGCTTGCCCAATTAACAGAAGTCTTAACTTAAAAGAGTGCATCGGTTTTCTGTTTTAATATACTTTTGTGTGAATTATAAGCGAATATTGTGTAAATTAAATGTTCATTTAATTTTCGCTATTTTGTGGCTTTCATTAACATGGTAAAAAAAAAAAAAAAAGTGTATGATTCTTTAAAAGAAATCAGTACTTTTATTTCGCAAGGATGCATTAAATTCAGAAAAAATAACAGTAAAGACTTAAATTGTAAATCAGCATACTAGAATGATTTCTGAAAGATCATGTGACACTGAAGACGGGAAGAAATTACATTTTAAAAATACATTAAAATAGAAAACAGTTGCTTTAAATTGTAACAATATTTGATTACATTACTGTTTTTACTCTATTTTTATCAAATAAATACAGCTTTAGTGAGCATGAGAGACTTTTCAAAAACTTTTTTTTAAATTTTCTTACTGACCCTAATATATTTTTTTATTTTTCTATATTTCTATTTATCAAAGAATCTTTCTTTTATAAGAATGTTTATTTTATTATTTTGATGTTTTCAGCAATGCATGTTGATCATGCTGTGTTTTCGCGGTTAGATAATAAGCACTGTAAAATAAAAGCGATTTCGTCTTTAAAGCTCCACTGCAACAGCAAGTTTAGCACATCAATGTATTGCTGAAGTTCCTTATTTAACAGTTTTTTATGGGTTAACGCTGCTCTCGTGTTGACCGGAGTGGAATGTCATCGATGTGATACTGTGTTTCTAAATTTCTAAGACTGTTATGGTCAGAGGAGTACATCAAATAAAATGTTCGGTCATGGAAAAGAGCTAAACAAAAAGGAAGGAATTTGTTTTGTACATTTTTGTGATAAGATAAAAGAGTAAACAATGTTTTATCAGACACCGTGATAAGAGTTACAGCTGACACACACACACACACACACACACACACACACACCTGGAATGTCATCGATGTGATGCTGTGTTTCTAAATTTCTAAGACTGTTATGGTCAGAGGAGTACATCAAATAAAATGTTCGGTCATGGAAAAGAGCTAAACAAAAAGGAAGGAATTTGTTTTGTACATTTTTGTGATAAGATAAAAGAGTAAACAATGTTTTATCAGACACCGTGATAAGAGTTACAGCTGACACACACACACACACACACACACACACACACACACCAAAACCTCAATAGACACCACCAAAAAAACAAATGTGAAAGGCAGAGTGGACAGATGGACTTCAAAGTTTAATATACACAAACAGACTGCTAACAGCAAAGCAGAAAGCCTTAAAGACTTCTTATGTTAGATTTCCATTTTGTCTTTAATGGCATATATATTTACTAGGCTATTTGCGCACATAGCACCCAAAGTAAAAACAACAAACTGAAACCATTTCCATCGATTTATTTGTGGTGATTAGTCAGCGGGGAACATGTTGCATTTAAAATGATGTTTAATTATTAACAGGTGGTCTTAAAAGGCCTTAAAAGTTTATTAACCACAGATACACTACTGTTCAAATGTTTGGGGTAGATAAGATTTTTTTAATATTAATGAAAGAAGTATTTTATGCTCACTAAGGCTGTATTTATTTGATCAGAAATGCAGTAAGAACTGTAATATTGTGAAATGTTACTACAATTTAAATAATGAGTTTTAATTTCAGTATATTCCAAAATATAATTTATTTCTGTGATGCAAAGCTGTATTTTCAGCATCATTACTCCAGTCTTCAGTGTCACATGATCCTTCAGAAATCATTCTAATATGCTGATTTGCTGCTCAACAAACATTTCTTATTATCAATGTTAAAAACAGCTGTGTTGCTTAATATTTTTGTGGAAACATTTTTTCAGGATTCTTTGATCAATAGAAAGCTCAAAACAGTATCTCTCAAAACAGTATCTTTATCTTAACAGTATCAGTATCACTTTGATCAATTTAATTTGTCCTTACTGAATAAAAGTATACATTTCTTTCAAAAAAATCTTGACCCCAAACTTTTGAATGGTAGATTATGTTCTTAAAGCTGGTTTACTGTGTGAGTGCTCACCTTTGGGGCTGATTTTACGGATCTCCTCCACATAATCACGTGTCCGGTAGTCAATGGGGTGCGTGACTCCTCCCTGGCCGATGACCTCGTGCTTGCTGGCCGAGGCGGTGCCAAACAATGTGACATCATTCACTGTTTTACACAACTGAGTGGCAGCGATGCCCACCCCACCTAGAGAGGAAACAAAACAAATTATGAAACCAGAAAAGCCCTGAACACAACTTATTTTCAGCATTTTCCATCTCAAAACAAGAACAGAAACATGCAAGCAAAGGATACAGCAGGACAAAACTCAGTGCTGCCATATGACCTTAAAGACGAGCGAGCACCCACCCACACATGTACAAACATTAGGACCATTGTAGCAATGCCATTATCCTTGTTTAACTCGCAAGTGCTTTCAAAGGCAAATAACTTTGATTTCAATTTATTAATGGATTTTCTAATGTTTTTCTACTCTCACGCATTTTTTTTTCTGTTGAGGAACACAAATGAATCAGAAAGAAACTCAGACTCATGAACATAAAAGCTTAACGTTTAAACGCGGTGGTTTATGGTGAAAGTTTTTATGAGAACCGTTTACTGCGTACACAGTCTGCTACCGTTACTACTGAAAAACAGCAACAGCAAACATCTTTAAGTCATTTCAAAGAATAGTATTTTTAGTGACAAGCTTTAACCTCAAGACTGAGAGAGGCTCCAGGACAGCAGGTCACCAATCATGAGCTCTGTCTGGGGTCTAATGTCTTAAAGATGCCATTTACATCAGACATAGATTGTGAGCAGATCCACTTAATCTCAACTTTTACTGCGTGTCTTGTGTGTGTGTTTCAAAGGGAGAGGCAGAGCTGTGTCTTAAAAGGTCACTAGTGCATGAACCTACAAAGGGTAAAGCTTATCTAATGACAAAATTAATAGAGCGCACATACAGTACTTACAGTGATATTCATAAAATGTGATCAAGTGCTCTAGGCCAGGGCTGTCCAAACTCGGTCCTGGAGGGCCGGTGTCCTGCAGAGTTTAGCTCCAACCCTAATTAAACACACTTGAACCAGCTAATCAAGCTCTTACTAGGCATAGAAACTTCCAGTCAGGTGTGTTGAGGCAAGTTGGAGCTAAACTCTGC